GAAAGTAGATTTTAAGTGTTCTCACCACAAACAATAGTTGGGCAATGCATATATTAATTTGCTCGACTTAGCCATTCCACGATGTACACCTTTCTCAAAACAACACACTGTGTGCAATAAATACGCAATTTTCATTTGTCAATTAAAAATATATAAATGCTTTTAAAAAGATGAAGTAAAATAAATTTCTTAATATCAAATCTTTTAAGATAGAATTGGTGAGTAAAGCATAGATTAACCAAAAACATAGGTAAAAGAGACAAACTGGGACAATTGGCCTACAGTGTTTGGGAGGGCAGTTAGTTGTATCAACTGGTTTTGTTTGATTCAAACCAGGACAGGTGTTGATTAGCCACTGGACACGAGAGCTGGGCAATTTAAAGAGCATCTAGTCTTATCTGCTGGCTAAGGAGGAAACCAACTTCACCTAAACCCAGAACTCCCAGGATGCAGGGCACAACCCACTTCCCATGTGGAACAAAACCACTTCCCTTATCACTGTAGGGACTTAGCAATTCCATAAAAACACAAATATTTTCTGTCTGGACTCTTGCTCTCTCGTCTAGGAAAAATAGATAAATAGGTTCTTTATCTCAATCCTTTGCAAGCCCACACGAAACCAGCCCCAGGGCAGCGTGGGTGGGCATGCCCCCTCAGGGGCACTCCACTGCGCACACGAGCCCAAACCCGACCTTGTGTGCGCTTGGCCCCACGTGCTCCCCGGAGACAGGCCAGCCTCCCACTACCCCTCAGCCTTGCAGGGGGAGCAGCTCCGCCGCCCGGCCGCGCGCTCGGCTGGCGGGGAGCTGAGGGCGAGCTGCGGAGCTGGGCCCACGCGGGGCGAGCCATTCCAGGGGAGCCGCGCCCTGGCACGGAGAGGGACTCACAGCTCTCGCCTCTTCGCACTTCAGCAGAGACGCGCAAGAGCGGGAGGGTTGAAGATTCCGGCCTGCGGGAGGCCCTTCCCGGACCAGCTGTCCCTCCCGGCCGGCCGCTGTCCTGAAGCGGCGTGCTGCTGTGCGCACTCATCCCTTCCGTGTCCGCAGTGAAGGAAGGGAGCCCAGCACCATCCTCTTGGGACAGTTTTTCATCCACAGAACCTGGAGACTTGTGGCCCAGCTGGCTCTGTCCTCCACTCGTCGGGCTGCGTCATCACTCTTCATCCCTCCCCAACACTTTCCGAAATCCTCAAACTTATACGAAGTTGAAAAAAATAATACAATAATAAAGTGAACTATACCCTTCACCTAGATTCACCTATAATTAACGTTTTTGCCACATTTGCATTTCTGTGTCAGTGTCAAAGGACGCTCCTGCCTTAGCCTCCGAGTAGCTGAGACGACAGGCCTACGCCACCAGCTAATTGTAGAGACAGGGTCTCACTTTTGCTCACACCGGTGTAAAACTCCTGGCCTTAAGCAATCCTCCCACCTGAGCCTCCCAAAGTGCTAGGGTTGCAGGCATGAGCCACCTTGCCCTGCCAAATACAAATATATATATATATATATATATTTTAAGTGTGTCTGTACTGAACATGTACATACTTTCTTTGGCCTTATTCCCTAAACAATACAGTATAACAACTATTTACATAGAATTTACATTGTGTTAGGTATTATTACACTTGATCTTAGCCAAAAGGCCAAGAAGCGATATGTGTTAGGTATTATTAGGTTGGTGCAAAAGTAATTGCGGTTTTAGCATTGTTGAAATTTGCCATTTGATACATTCTTAAACAAATGTAGTTACATTATATATCATCTTAATGCACATTTCTCGGTTTATTTTTTTTTGTTAATGACTTATTACTTGCTGTTTATTTTTTATTTATTTTAGATTATGGAAATGATGGTAGACAAAAAGCAAAGAAAAGGAGACAAAACCCTTGAAGATGAGAAGCGCAGTGGCCAGCTGTAGGAAGTTGACAAGGACCAACTGAGAGCAGTCATTGAAGCTGATCCTCTTACAGCTACATGAGAAGTTGCCGAAGAACTCAAGGTCGACCATTCTACAGTTGTTCAGCATTTGCAACAAATTCGAAAGGTGAAAAAATGGGTGCCTCATGAGCTGACCGAAAATCAAAAAAATCATCGTTTTGAAGTGTCATCTTCTCTTATTGTACGCAACAACAACGGACCATTTCTTGATCAGATTGTGATGTGTCACGAAAAGTGGATTTTATCCGACAACTGGTGACAACCAGCTCAGTGGTTAACCAAGAAGCTCCAATGCACTTCTCAAAGCCAAACTTGCACCAACAAAGGTCATGGTCACTGGTGGTCTGCTGCCGGTCTGATCCACTGCAGCTTTCTGAATCCTGGCAAAACCATTACATCAGAGAACTATGCTTGGCAAATTGACGGGAGGCACCAAAAACTGCAACACCTGTATCTGACATTGGTCAACAGAAAGGGCCCAACCAATTCTTCTCCACAACAACTCCCGACTGCACATTGCACAGCCAACGCTTCAAAAGTTGAGCAAATTGAACTAAGAAGTTTTGCCTCACCCACCACATTCACCTGACCTCTTGCCAACCAGCTACCACTTCTTCAAGCATCTCGACAACTTTTCACGGGGTAAACACTTCCACAACCAGCAGGATGCAGAAAATGTTTTGCAAGAGTTCGTGGAATCCCAAAGCATGGATTTTTATGCTACAGGAATAAACAAACTTATTTCTCATTGGCAAAAATGTGTTGATTGTAATGGTTCCTATTTTGATTAATAAAGATGTGTTTGAGCCTAGTGATAATGATTTAAAATTCACGGTCCAAAACTGCAGTTACTTCTGCACCAAAATGTACAGATGATTTAAAATATACAAGAGGATGTGTGTTTAGGTTATATGCAAATACTACACCATTTTCTATCAGGGACTTGAGCATCTGGATTTTGGTATCCAAGAGAGGTCCTGGAACCAATCCCCACACACAGACACTGATGGATGACTGTGCCGCCCTGGCACCTCCCCCTCCCCCATCCTCCACACGCCCTCTGTTCTCGTCCCGAAATCTCTCCCATGCTTTGCACAGATCCCAGCTCAGCCGCAGCCTCCCCATCTGTTCAGGCATGGTGTCCATCCTTTCTGCTAGACTCTCAACATGTTAATCACAGTTGTTTTACAGTCCTCATGGGATAGTTCCAGCACCTGGGCCAAGCCTGGGTCTGGTTCTGCTGATCGCTTCATCTCTTAACAATTGGTTGGGTTTTTTCTTGCCTTTTCCAATAACTTTTGTAGAGAAAAACAGTAAAGACCAGGGTAGATGATACTGATGCCTATAGATAGGAGTGCCTCTAGCCCTAGTGGGACATTAGTGTGACAGTCAGAGCTAACCTGGGCAGTGGCAGAGCTGGTCCTGGGTTTGGTTATTGCTGCAGCTACTCTCAGGGCACAGGTGCCTCCAGCTGTGACCTTGTGCTTCATGTGGACTGTGGGCTCTCAGACGGCTGCTGTTTTCCTCTAAGAGCTTCACTGAGATATAATTCACCCTCCATACAACTCACCATTTAAAGTGTTCAATTCAGCGGTTTTTAGTATATCACAGATTTGTACATCCATCACCAAAATCGATTTGAGAACATTTCCATCACTTGAAAAGAAATCTCACCCCCCTTAGTCATCACCTGCAGCCCTCCCCATCCTCCCCAGACCCCAGCAACCACTAGTCCACTTTCTGTCCTCTCCAGACATTTCAGAGAAATGGATTTGTACAACACGTGGCCTTTTGTGCCTGGCTTCCCTCACTGGCACACTGTCTGCAAGGCTCAGCCTACTGCAGGGCTTCCCTGCTCTCTAGGCAGAGTGACATCCCACTGTGTGGGCACCTGCAGGGGTTTCCTCCTGTCCCTGCTCCATCCTCAGCCTTCCTGTCCCTGCATGGCTGTACCACGGAGGGGGGTTTCTCCATGTTCTTGCTTGGTATTGGTAGTAGCCTCATGCTGGGGGTTTGGGCACATCGGATTCTCCTGGCTCTGTCCATTCACAGTCATGCTGGGCCTGGGCTGGGGGCTTTCCCAGCCTTCCGGCCCCTTCCTCCCAGGGCAGTCATCCCTGTACCTGTAGGGAGTAGCCTGGCCCTGCCCCTGCCACCTGCATGCCTGCTCCAGGAGGGGGTGCTCTGGTTCCCACCGGGCCCTGGTGTCTGTCACCAGCCCCTACCCTTCCGTGGAGGGCCCCACCCCGCCAGCCCCGGGGGGGAAAAGAGCTGCAGGGAGCTTGGGCTCCCCTGTGGCTGGGGCTTCCAGGTGCGCTGTCAGAACTTGTGAGCATTTTAGCCACTGTTCCTACCACTTTTGTGGAGCCATCTCCCCACAACCTCATGCATTGCCCAAAGTGGAGCAGGTCCATGTCTCCTTCTCCTGGAAGGCGCTGTCCCTCTTGGGAGCTCAGTGGGAACCCCATGCCTGGCCCTGTCCGCGGCACTCTGGGACACCTGTTCCGGGCAGGTCCACCTCCACCATCTTTGTATACCTAGAGCCAGAACAATCTGTGGTATACTGTAGACACTTGATGGACATGTGCTGCAGAAAGAGAGTCCATAAATCAGTGGTTCTTAAGGATGCACGACAAAATTGCCCTGGAGCGCGCCACGCACACCTCCACTCCACAGCTGGCGCATCTCCGGAGCCCCAGCCCTCTCTCGGCAGCACAGCCCCTTCCACTCGCAGGGCCCTGTGCCCAGCTCCCCAGCGGTCCCCCTACGGAGTGCGCCTGCAGGGGAGGCAAGGGGGCCCTCCCCTGGACCTCCCCTGCAGTGGGCCTCGCCACCAGCGTCCCAGGGAGGGTGACCTCTGGACGTGCAGGGCCAGATGTCCACTGTGTTCACACAGGGCTCAGTGCAGAGCAGGGCTGCAGGGCAAAGATAAGAGGGTCAGGTCTGGGGCTGGGGCCGGCTCTCCAATTTGTCCCTCTCAGCAGAAAATTCTAAGTTCAAACCAGCCTCCTAGAGTTGCCGTAAAAGTACTTATTTGTCAAAGAGTGAAAATACAGTATATTATAAACATTACATAGTAACTTTATATGCACTCATATGCTGTGTGGGCCTCCATCTGTACTGGGCCCTGCATGTTTGGGCAGGGCCTGCCTGTGGTCCCCTCCTGTCTTTTTGGCGGCTGGACAGACTGCAGAGCTGGCGGGTTCCCAGCAGAACGCAGGACGGAGAGCTAGTCCGACTGGCACCTCAGCAGCAACTTGTGATCACACTACCGATGAGCGTCAGAAGGGCACAAGGCAAGTCACTGTCCAGTCACAAAGCGTGTGAGCCGAGAGCCGGGCGCGCCCAGCAGTCTGGCCCTAGGCAGCAGCTCTCAGGCCTGAGCTTTGCTGTTGCCCAGGGCGCCAGCGGCTGTGCGGCCGCCCCGTCCCAGCTCCCGGGCTCTGCTGCACACGTGCTCGCTCACATCCACTTGGCCCATGAGCTTGGTACTCTGGTCGAGCAAATTTTTTTAGATACTCTATATGAAATTTTACTTTTCAACAGAATTGGAACCCAAGAAAGTGCTCCTAAGCACAGTACCAATTTCCCAGGTCTGCAGGCTACCTTTCTAAACTCTGATGCCTCTGTTTGTAACCAAGACCCTCAGGCAGAGCGACCCAGGAGTATAACGGGTCACGATTCCATTCATGCACCGTTGACATTGGCTGGGATGCCCATCAGCCAGATTAGTAGGACATTGGATCGCTTTTCAGGAGAACTTCCAGAGAGCAGGCTTGGACAATGTGGCATTGGAGGTGCCGGATAGCAGAAGAGCTTAACTCCAGCTTACCCGAGAGCTGACGCCAGCATGCCTGGCTTGCCGCCGCGCTGGAGCCCGCTTACCCCAGCCAGAAGACGGATTGCAAGCTTGGTACGGTCCTTGGAGTCCAGGCGGCAATACCCCTGGCCAGCACCACCCGCTCCGCACTTCCTGTCCTGCATCTGCCTCTCGCGCAGTCGGCAGGTGGGGCGTCCACTTCTTTCTGAAGAAACCCCAACCTCTATCCACCAAGAGTAAAGTCACATAAAAACACAATGGCCTTGTGTCATGATTTGTGAAAATCTGGGGTTTTAGTTGAAAATAATGCCACCATGGGCATCACCAGCCCAATTCAAGAGACTGGTTGGCCCCTCTGTGTCCCCTCCCGCTGGGCTTCTCAGCACTTGAAGGGGACGGGACCCTTATGCCTCCTGCCTCGGCCCAGCACACGTGTTCCTAAACGCCGGTCCTCAAACCTGCGCAATGAGTCAGGAGTCTTTCCTACAGACAGGGCTGCGCAGGGGACAGAAGCCGCATTCTGAGGGGAGTAGGAACAGGACGGACAGGAGAGGGTGAGACGGGGCTGGGAGGTGGAGCAAGCACGCTGGAGCGCGTGGGGGCCTCGGCTCGCCTGAGCACCAAGGCTGGCCTGAGCAGAGCCCTTTGCCGCCTTAGAGCCAGGCAAGGGCCCAGGTGAGCCAGGGGCGGGGAGTAGGGGCATTTGAAAGTCAGGGCCGGAGGCTGGAGGCCAGCCCCCTCTGCCATGCCCTGAAGCAATCGTCAAGGAGCCTGAGAATCCTAAATTGGAGCCTGGTTTTCCAGATACCAAGGTGTAGTTTTTGAGGTAGGAGGACAGAATGTGTCCTCTATGGCTTCCTGTGAGCTTCACTTGTAGCTTGTGTCTGCAGACACACACCCTTACCGACTTCCCTGTGTGCGCCCTCACTCCGGCCCTCGACCTTAGGGGTGGGCCTCGGACCCCAGTGCAAGCCTCTCACCCCCACTTGTCAGCAAGGAGACGGTCCTGCTCTGAGCCTCAGTTTTCTCATCTGCAAGAATCCCCATCTGGGAGAGTTGTTCTGACAATTTGGTAAGTTCTCTGCTGAAGAATCCGGCATCCAGCCCTCCCCACTCTCTCCGGTTTCGGTGCGGATGGTAGGCTAGGTGCTGGCCACAAGGGAGTAGCCTTCAGAAACCCCAGTAGGTCAGCTTGTCCCTTGTTAAAACCAGGTGACAATGAGTTCCCGAAGCCACATGAACACCGACTTTCTGGCTTGATCAGACACCTTGACTCAAATCCTGGCTCAAGGTCTGGCATTGAAAAGGCGGCACTTTCAGCAAACCACCGAAGCTCCTAAGGCACATGCTTTCCTTTAAGCTGCTCAGTGGCTGGATTCCCTAGGCAATGAGAGAGCAAAGCTGGAGGAAGGGTCCTTCTAGGGACCCACAGACTTCCCCCACCAGATGCCCACACTAAACCCAGCCCCGGCCAGATGGGTGAAGGTAGCATTTACTTGGAGTCAATAATTACACCGAGCAATGGAAACAAACAGCCTAAAGGTGTTGAACACTCAGGGGAGGGGGTCTGGGAGATCTCAAGCTCAAAGTTTGGAAGAGGGGAGCAGGGGCTGGGCTGTGGCCTCCTCACCTGCTCCCCTTTGTGCAGAGGTGTGGGGCCCACGGCAGGCAGAGGAGCACTGGGTGGAGGGGTGGATGGGACACAAGGGCAAAAAAAAAAATCCCTAAGTTTGGAAACATTTGCAAAACTGCAGAAGAAAAATGTTTCAATGTTCTCTGTCCCCTTCCAAACACACACACACACACACACATTAGAACTTTCCCAAAGTTTTCATAAAGCTAAAAAGAAACTGCTGGTGCCGATTACAGAACACGGCTGCTTCCTCATCTTGCGGCACCTTCCCGGCTGGAGCGGCAAGAGGGTCTCCAGGCCCGTGTCCAGGTGCTGCCGGAGGGTGCTCCTTCAGATGCAGGTGCCAGACAGTCGCAAGACTCCAGAGCCTGGGAGGCTCTCCACGGTCCCCTAGGGTAACCCTTTCATCTGACAGATGAGCCCAGAGAATTTAAGCGAGTAGCCCAGAGCTCATCGACTACAGAACCAGAATTAAAACCCAAGTAGTCCTGACCCGCCGTCAGCGGTCATCCCTTTCTACCATACAAATTGGCCTGGAAGAGGGTGTTTGCTCCCCAAGGACACAATCCATGCCAGAAAACCTTGACTTTGCCTGCCGTGCCTTAGGTATTTGCCGCAGGACCGCGCGTGAGAGGTGGCTCAGAGCGCTAGGTGTGCGGGCGGGACCCGGACAGCCCCGCGCCCGGGGCTGGCAAGTTAGGACTCGACCCGCCGGAGGGCCGGCGGGCATGGCTCCCAGAAGGGGGTGTCCAAAACGCGCCCGGGCGGGAGGGCTGGGGTTCAGAGCGGGGTCAAGGCTAGCGAGGGACCAGGGAGCCGTCTCACAGAGGAGATACGGACTCCCGCCGTGCCCAGCGGGGTCGTGTCCAGGTCGGGCGGGATCCCGCGAGTCTTTCCGGGCCCTACTGACGATGGGCCAGGCCCGCAGTCCCCGCCTCGCGGAGAGCCAGCGCGGCGCCGGCCTCCTCCTAGTCTCCGCGCTCCCCGGGCACCGCGCCCCCGACAAAGAGCGTCCGCGCCGCCCGGCCCGCCGCCCGCTCGAAGTGAGGACGTGAGGACGCGGCTGGAGAAGCCCTCCCCGCGCTGCCTCCTCCGGGCCCAAGCCTCCCCGCGCTGCCTCCTCCGGGCCCAAGCCTCCCCGCGCTGCCTCCTCCGGGCCCAAGCCTCCCCGCGCTGCCTCCTCCGGGCCCAAGCCTCCCCGCGCTGCCTCCTCCGGGCCCAAGCCTCCCCGCGCTGCCTCCTCCGGGCCCAAGCCTCGCCGCGCTGCCTCCTCCGGGCCCAAGCCTCCCCGCGCGCGCGCCTCTCCGGCCCAAGCCTCCCCGCGCTGCCCCTCCGGGCACCAGCCTCCCCGCGCTGCGCTCCACCGGGCCAGCCTCCCCGCGCTGCCTCCTCCGGGCCCAAGCCTCCCCGCGCTGCCTCGGAGGGGGCCGCGAGGCCCAGCGCGCGGGCTTGCCGCTGTCAGACGCGCCCCGCAGCCGGCAAAGCTCAGCCCCAGCGGGCTGGAATGCGCCGGCATCTCGGGACACGGGGCGGGGGACGAGGCCCTCAGGACGCGTGCCCGGGCTCAAGTCGGCCGCGGTCGGAGACACCCGGAGCGCTCCACAGCCGACCCAAGCCCGCAGGGCCGGCCCCGCGGCCGCGACTGTAGGGCCGGGGCGGCGACCCGAGCGGCCAAGTGAGGGCGCGTGTCCTCCCCGTCCCTCCACCCGCAGTGCGCCCCACCCGCTCCTCTCCCCGCGGCCCTGGCGAGGGGCCCGGGCGGCGCGGTCCCCTCCCTCCGGCGGGCGGCGGGGCGGCGCGCGGAGGGCGCGGCCGCCGCGCCATTGCCGGGCGGCGCGGGCGGGGCGGCCGGGTCCAGGCCCGGGAGCGCCCGGGCCCGCAGTCGCCGCCGCCGTCCGGAGAGCCAGCGCCGAGCGCGGAGCCGCGCGCGCCATGAGGGAGATCGTGCACATCCAGGCGGGCCAGTGCGGTAACCAGATCGGCACCAAGGTGGGCGCCGCGGGCCTGGGCTTCCTGCGGGTGGGCGCGCGGGCCCGGGCTCTGCCCGCTCCACCTCCGCCGGGCGCGCAGGCGCTCGGCGCCCCGCGGACTTCGGGGCCCATGCCGGCCCCGCGCGGGCGTGGGGGGCGCGCCGGGAGCCGCTGCCCGCCGTTCCCGTTCCCCATCCCCACGCCACCGGGAGCGGCGGCCGCGGCTCCGCGCTCCTGGAATTCGGCCCCGCCCGGGGGACGCGCGGGGCGCCCGGGGCTCGCGTTCTCACCTCTGTCCCCTCCTCGCTTCCCCAAGTTTTGGGAGGTGATCAGCGACGAGCATGGCATCGACCCTGCCGGAGGCTACGTGGGTGACTCGGCGCTGCAGCTGGAGAGGATCAGCGTCTACTACAACGAGTCGTCCTGTGAGTAGCGCGGCCGCCCCGCGCCCCAGCCCGCCGCCCCGCGCGCCCCAGCCCGCCGCCCCGCGCGCCCCAGCCCGCCGCCCCGCGCGCCCCAGCCCGCCGCCCCGCGCGCCCGCGGGAAGGCCGCGCGGCCAGTCTGTTCGAACCGCTGGCCTGGGGGGCGCTGAGCCCGAGAACAAGACCGCTCCTGCCTGATGTGAAATCAACTCAGTGGGTCGGCCCTGAGCAGCCTGCTCTTTCTGTATTTAAGAATGGAATGAAACACTGAGTAGAATAAATGAGAGTGTTTCTCCAGAATCCTTAAGAAAAACAAAGGTTTCTTTTCAGTTAAAATATATGTTATTGGGGATTCTTGGCTAAAAATGAAAAACATTCTCTTAAATGACTTTTCTAGTCCTTTCGAACTTCCGAAAAGACCCTACACTCACTAGAAGCTGAAACTTCAGACAATTCTGCTTAACTAGTGGAGGAGTTTACTAAAAATTCTGAGCTGTGGTTTATTCAAGTTTGGGGACAATATCGTTCCTGTCCTGGGTAGCTGCATACATTGTGACTACATGTGCACATCACTTAAGCGACTTTTATTATAACAGTGGTGCATGCCCTTCACAAAACAACAAAAAGCTAAGCCGCTGAAAGAACTCACGCAGCAAATGGCAGGCTCGCCCCCGCACAGGCTGGGGAGACGTGTCCGCAGACCGGCTCCCCGGGGTTTGTTGGAGTCACTTCCTACTTGTCCACACAAGAGCTGGGAAGAGCAGTCCTCATGAATCACTGGGTTTTATTGTTTAAGCAGCAATGACAAAACGTTTGCAACGCTAAGCCATAGAAGATGAAATACATGGATGGCACTGAGGAAAATTCCAGTATGAACTGCACTTCCTGTTAACCCTCTGCCCAGCTGGGCTACGTCCTTTCTAGGATCTGAATGTGTGCACAGCAGGACAGGAGTGCTAGAGCAGTTCCTGTCTGGAATCATGTGAACCCCATCCTCACTCAGAATGATTTCCTGCCCAGTTGGCATGGCAGTGCTTGCAAGTGAAAATGCCACACAGGAGCACCCTGGCTCGTCAACGGGAGCAGCTCTGGGGAGCAGAGCCAGCGGGACAGCAGCTGTACCAAGGCTCAGACTGCAGCTTGGGCAGTACGTGTGCCCATGGGGGAGGTGTGGAAAACAGAGAATGTCATGGCAACCGGCAATTTGCTGTAACAAATAGTTTATTTCCATGGAGCTAAAAGAGTAAATCTTCCCAATAGGAAAGAGGTGTCAGGGTGAACAGGAAAATACAGCAGGCAGGAAGTCAGGAGCCCTGACTCCTCGTAGCGCTTCTTCCTGGAAAGTCCTCTGTCCTCATGCCTGGCTCTTCCTTGTCCCAGAGTTAAGTTTCTGTGGTTCTGAGAAAGTCATGGTTCCCCCTCTGAAAAGACCCCAGTTCATTCCAGGTAGCTCTAGCTGGTGGGACTTGCTAGAGGCAAGTTGATTACTCTAGAAACTTGAAATTTACTCTTATTTGTGGGCTTTTTTCTCCTCCAGCTCAGAAATATGTGCCCAGGGCTGCCCTGGTGGACTTGGAGCCAGGCACCATGGACAGTGTGCGGTCTGGGCCTTTTGGACAGCTCTTCCGGCCTGACAATTTCATCTTCGGTAGGTTCCATCTTTCCTATTTTTTCTTTAAAAAGAAAATCAAACGAGTTTATGCATAAGATTAAAAACATCTTGTAGCATGGAAAACCTTTGAATGGAAATCAGCAGTCCCATCCTGTGCCTCCACCCAGCTGGCCCATCACAGGAAGTGGTTTTTTTAAGTCTTGACTTTTTCTTTAGGGAAGTAATCTCCATATCTCTCGTGAAATTCTTATGCTAACAGTTCTTGATTGAAAAACAAAAACCAAGAAACAATTGTAGACATTAACTTCTTTCTCCATCTCTTTATGAAGTTATTTCACCATTTGTTTTGGTTCCTACATTGGTCATTTTTTAACTTCAATGTGTTTATACCTATATATTTTTAAAATTTATTTTTAGAGACAGTCTCACTCTATTGCCCAGGCTGGAGTGCAGTGGCACAATCATAGCTCGCTGCAATCTTGAACTTCCTGGGCTCAAGCGATCTTCCTGTCTCAGCCTCCCAAGCAGGTGGGACTAGAAGTGTGCACCACCATGCCCAGCTTATACCTGTATTTCTTTTTACATCATTTATAGACAGTTGTACTGTTTTCTTTCTAAAGGCTAGCACTATATAAGTTTTGTTTTATCAGAATTGGGTAGATCCTTTTTTCTTCCCTTCCTCCACCTAAAACATGATGGTGGATCCTATTTATCTACAGACTCCTAAAGAAAATCATAAAATTAGGTGATGTGGTGCTATTAGTGTTACCAGGTAGAGCTTCCAGTCTGTGACAGATTTGGATGTGTCTCATTTCTCATCTGAAATGTGAGGTACCACATTTCAATTTTACATTATTTTTCAAAAATTATCACTTAACTATTGAGTAAGAGGGAAAAAATATTACTTATCGACAGAAATACCTCAATCAATCAACAAACATGTTTCCACTACCCATGAAAGATAGAGTGTCTTTCAAGGAAATGTGAGAATTATCAGACTGATTGCTGGCTTACGAAAGCACTACGGTATGGGAATAAAATACATCATCACACATATACATTCCAACCCCTTTCTCTAAAGGCACCAGGTAGGGATAGTTTAATTGAGAGTAATAGACAATCCTGTTATCTAAACCATTCCAGGGAGAAAATGATGGAAAATTTTCCAACATTTCCTATAAGCCTAGGTAGCTTCTACTAGAACATAAAAGTGAAAGCTTACTTAAAATATAGATGCATAATATAAAATAAAATATAAATATATAAAATAAATAAAATATTTAGAACATCAAATGTAGTTGTGTTTTTAAAAATAGCACATCATGACCAGGTACGACTGAGAGGCAAATCATGTAACAGTTAAGACCCTGGCTGTGCTGCTACACTCCTTGGGTTTGAATCCTAGCCCTTCCACTCACTGTGTGACCCTGCTTGGACTTGCTATTTAACTTATTTGTGATTTAATTTCCTCACCTATAAGTGGGACTGTCTACCTCTTGGTGAGATGTAAGGATTATATGAATAAGTATTTGGAATAGCTAATATACAATAAGTGCTTGGCAAATATTAGCAACATCCCCAGGGAATGCAAGGATGGTTTGACATTAAGAAGTATGCTAATTGAGTAAGGCAGACAACATTCTAATAAATGTCCCCAAAAAACTGATAAAATTCGGTATGTATCCCTTATTTCTGGAGGACAAAAACATTTCTGTGTAAGCAGGAAATAGAAACTTATTTATAGATTAGCTACCAGAAACCTATAGCCACATCATACGCTTGGTGAAACATTAGAAATATTCCTCCAAAAATTAGGTATAACAGAAAAATGTCTATTGTCTCTACTGTTATTTCATGTTCTGAAGGCTTTAGCCAGTGCACAAAAACCAGAGAAAGAAAAGAGATACAAATTATGTAAAGGAACAACAAGATTGTTGTTACTAGAGGGAATGATTGTCTTAGAGTTTCCAGATAGGGAATCAGCTGAAAAATGATAGCACTTATAGGATTTCAGTAAGGCAGACAGGCACAGATTAAAATATTCAGAAATTAATAGTTTTGCTATATGGTGACCAGTCATTCTAATTTGCCTGGAACTGGCGGATAGCCTTCCCCAGGATACTAGACTTGGAGCGCTAAAACTGGCAAAGTCCCAGGCAAACTAGAACAAATGAATCACCTTAAAAGCAATAATTAATTTTAAAGTATATTGGGAAAAACATCCTATTCCCAATAGGAATAAA